CTAACTACTACGTAGTACGTATACGTAACTAACTAACTAACTACTACTATATATATATAGTAGTAGTAGTATATATACTATACTATATACTATAGTCGTCTCTCTCTCTCTCTCTCTCTCTCTCTCTCTCTCTCTCTCTCTCTCTCTCTCTCTCACACACACACACACACACACACACATACACACAAGCACACTAGAACTTGCAAGAATACTGGTTTTCCAGTCACTCATATCAGGAAATTGTCAGTCCCAGAACCGTGAACCATGGATAGAAGATATAGAAGGATTGCTGCGACAAGTGGCACTCTGATATGAAGAATTATTTTCAATAAAGAGAAAATGATGTACAACATAAAACTACAGATTACTTAATGGAAATGCATTTTTGCTCAGATTACTGAAAAATTGCTCCCACCGTGGAGGGAGAAAGGAACAGAGTGTCTCATGATGGAGGAAGGGTTATAGGAACCAATGGGAATTAGGGAGGAGAAACTTAGTGTAAGCACCACCCTAAGCGGAACAGCTCAACTAAAAATACCAAGGAACAAAAGAAATATGAGATCGAAAAGGTTTCACACTAGAGACAACCAAATGAAGGTTGGAAGAGCTGAGCCCTGGAATCCAGATGGCAGCCCTAGGAGATGTAAAGAAGCCAGCAGCTCTTCATGGGCATGGAGTTTTCATAGGTTGCAAATTACTCGAGAGATAGGTCATTGTAAAGGCCAAGTGCTTTTGAAGGCCTGTTTGCTAGGCTAGGCGACCAGATTTTCAAGCTTTAGCCAACAGATGACATTCGATTATTCTATTGAGGATGCTCCAATTTTACATTTCCAATAGAACTGGAGGTGCTGCGATCCTTTGATCCTTGAATCCAAATATCACTGGTTTGGCTAAAGGATCGGTATCCTATCTTTGACAAAAAGGAAGTATTCCCAGAAAGCAGGGAATGATATAGAATACATGGGACCCCTCACCATGGCTGGAAAATCTCAATATAATCCACTGGATGGAAATAACAAACTTTGTTTTTCGCTGATGAGCCCTCAAAGCATATGGTGAGTTGAAAGGATGAGGAAAGGAATAGCTGGATAAGCATGGAGATGGGAGGTCATTCTCATTAAAAGTGCCCCACTACCAATTCCCTTCTACCACTGCCCACATTAAAAAAAATTGTGTTAAAACCTCTTTACAGTTTCTGTTTCCTCCTATTATTGGGATAAGCTACTCAACCATTGCAGAGCAGTGATCCAAGCATGCCACCATAATTACAGAAATCTGATAGCCTTGAGTTGTCTAGTTCAGCATAACTCACAAAAGAAGTAAATCTAAAACAACACGCCCTAGCAATCAGAAACTCTAGCCCGAGTTACAGGCACACTAGCAATACACGTACTAAAAATCCACGACATGATTCCTCCTTGATTAACCATTTGCAAGGAACCTAAACTACCATGCCATACCACGCAGGGTTTCCAAGCCAAATGATCAAGCACCCAACACACTGCCCTTCCACCTTTTCAAACAACTATGCCATGTGACAGCTTATAATAGATGCTGATGAATATTTTAAAGAAATGGATATAGAGCTATGTGAATTCATTACGTTGATGAAAAACATGATTCAGAAAATCCACATACTTCTCTCTGTAATTCATCCCTAAAGGACGGAGCAGCAGAAGCAAGGCCAGCCTTCTGCATATAGTCTTCCTGCAAGGAGGGAAAAATATGAGCATTGTTTAGTATAATAACAAGGTCAGACAGACTAAACATACATATACATAAAACAGAACTAGCAGAAAAGGAAAGCTGAACAAAACGAAGTGATGGGATCTAAGATCAAACACAAACCTCATATATTTCAGCAAGCCCCTTCTGGCTCTTGTTCTCATCCTACACAGTAAATTGTAGTATCAGCGTCAAATGATGGTAATAATAGTACATGAAAAAAACAAATAAAATGCATTTAAAAGTGAAATTAGAATATCAAATATCCACCTCAAAACCATACTACATACCAATTGTTTATGTTCTATTGGAGCCTTTGAAGGCAAACTGGGTTTATGTTGCACATCATCAAATTGCCCCTGAAGCACAAGAACTGCACTATTTCACAATAAAAATAATAATTGCTTGCCCACCTTAACATATGGAAGGGAGAACATAGAAAGAAACTTATGAAGGGTAATGAAGAAAACTGCAGAGAGTTCCTCAATGTCGAAGGCTTGGAAATGGATCCCCAAAAAATTTATAGAGTCTCATGTTCACAAGTGAAATCAAATGCAACGAAAGTAAATGAAACAACACATTAGGTATAGGTATTCCCACATGAATTTGTGCAGACAAAAGCTGTTTTAGTCAAGATTATATAGGTTGCATGCAAAAGCAGTCAAACTAAGTCATAAAGCAGTAATAAACATATGTAAGGATACCATCATCATCCAAGATACCAGGTGCTTTAATCAATCAAGCAAACAAGAAGCTTGGAAACTAACCTATAGTGCTTCACTTTTTATGATAACTTCTTTTCATGAAAACTACGAAGGAAAAAAAAAAAGAGTACAATGAGGAAAACAATATCCTAGAACAAATCTTAGGGTCAAGTATGGAACTTCCACCATATAGCTCTCTATGAAACACCATTTCGGAGGCTAAGAAATTATCATCCTGGTAGGGCATACCCTAATAAACAGCAATATCCAATACCTTAATTAGTGCACAGCTGTCCTCCACAACATCCATGATCCTCCAAGTCTTGTCTTTCATCACAACCAATGTTCGCAAAATCGAACCGGAACGGTTAACCGGTTTTGGGGCTAGGAGCGGTTTGAACCAAAACCGGACTAACCGGGGCGGTTAACTGTTTTAACCAGTCAAGTAGTTCTTTTTTAAAAAAACAAAAGGGTAAAAAACGTCCAAAAATTTGAAAAAAAAATTGAAACAAAAATAGAAAAACTTAGATTAATTGTATACTATTATATTACATACATTTATCTTACAAAAAAAATCGAAACAACTTTTTATATAAATTAATATTTGAATACTATGAAGATATGCAAGACAATTTAGAATTTGACATTAATTCAATTAACGAAGTTACAAAGTCCAACTAACAATGCTAGTAGTAATGAGAGCGGCGAGGGGGATCATGATATTGTTGTGTTTCACTATCATGATTTACGGTGCGAAAAATCTGAGTAAGGCTTGGTGGAGTCTGTAATGCCGCAGTTGTGCCCCCTCGCCAGTCAGGAATATTTCTTGTGGTACGCCCTTGGCTAAAGTCTCCTAGACTCGCCCAGCCTTCATGCTCTCCCCCACCCTGTTCTGTGTTACCCCACCCTGTTCTGTGTTATGGCCCTCAGCATCTTCAATATTGTCATCATCATGAATAACCAGTTACGGTGACAGCGACGGCTTCATCTCTCCCTTGTTGAGTAACTCTTATGCCTAAATGCCTGGACTTTCTCCCGAGCCAATCTCATTAAATCTTCTTGTTCATTAGGCACCACATCATGTTGCACCCCTTCACATTCCTGGATGACTGGTTCTTGCCAATTGTTTTCCATTGTTCCATCTGTTTTATCATCTTGTGCCTCATCTTCATCCTGTGTATAATCGTCATCCATGTCCATTGTCATGTCTCCTTTATTGGATGCTGCAACATTCACATTATCATCCATATCGACAACTGCCCCACTAAGAAAATCTTGGTCTAGTAGTGGGGTCCTTAGTGACACCCACTCATCGACGAGGTCCCTCCGGAAGATGTAATCAAGGTTGATCGGCATGTAGTCTGTGGGGGTCCTCCTTATATGTTTCTCTCTCAATTTCAAACTATAATGAACATACACCAAGTTGTGCAGCGTCTGTGACTTTAACTTATTCCGCTTCGGGGCGTGTATCCACTGAAATGTACTCCAGTTTCTCTCAGCCCGAGGCAGCACAGGTTTGACTCAAAATTCCAACGGCAATCTTTTGCAACTTTGCTTTGTTCGAATTCCGTGTATCGTCCACCATTGCATTGATAGAGACAAACATAGAAATACCTAACAACAGAAAATAAATTGATTTTAAAAAAACCACAAATAGTAGTGTACTAAACTATTGCAAGTTTTTACTTAAAACTAACCTAGGTGCAATTTTGCAGCTACTTTTTTGGCATTGTTGTATGCAAATTCCCCATTTTTTTCCATGTACATGATAAGCTAGAAATAATAAGATGCATATACAAGAAATTAAAACTACATAAAAATGCAATTCATTATGGTAAATTGAAATTTTATTACATACACGTTTTGATTAAGGTTTACCTGTTGCATACACTCCATCTGAGTTTCAAGATCAGGTTCAAGCCTGTAGATGCAGTTTCTTACCCCCTCCATGATATCTGCATCATCTAAAGTGGCATTGGAGTACAAATTTTGTGGATTAAGAAAGAACCTGCACATGGTTTGTTATATTGTTGATTACGGTAACTTTTCTCGGAGTTGAGAAAGAGTCAGGAATTGCGACAGTGAATCATAAATTACCTGCTACATGGATATCTTGGTATAGTTGGTCTCTCCACCTATGAGCAACAATCTCCAATATCTCTTCATTCCATATGTTATTCTCAAATATAGCTTCTCTTGCACGTCTCATTGCATCAAACAGAAGCCCCATTGCGGGTTTATTATCAGAGTCACTTAACCTCAGCACCCGTACTAAAGGTTCAGTTACAGAAACAACATGGTTATATCGAGCCCATAACCTCCGATCGAGAAGGGTGGTTTCAACCTGCCTTCCAAGTTGACTCGTTGCTACCCTATTAGTCTGTCATTCATTAGAGCGTATCATTGACCTCAATCCTGTCTTGTTTACCAATATCGATTGTATCGTAAGGAATGCTGTAGCGAATCTAGTAGTGGACTCCCTGACAATATCTCGCATGCAATGCTCCCTCATCGAAGCATGAAGATACGTGTGATTGTATATAAACCTTGTAATGAACTTGCTCTTCAAAATACAATATTTAACCATCTTCAGCTTCCCTATTTCCTTGAGCATCAAATTAATACAATGGGCAGCACAAGGAGTCCAATAAAGATTGGGTCTTCTCTCCATTAGCAACAAGCCTGCTTTTCTGTAATTTACAGCATTATCAGTCACTACTTTGACCACATTTTCAGGCCCAACCTCATCTACAATTTTGTCTAGGTGTGCGCATATCAGTCTCTCAGTATGTCTCTTTCTTGATAAATCAATACTAAAGTGGTAAACAATGCCCCTCGGGCAACCTATTAAAAAATTGACAAGATACCTATGGGACTTGTCCTTCCAACCGTCAGTCATGATAGTCACTCCTGTACCTGGCCAGCAGACCTTTAACTGTGCAATGTGCTTATCATCATCATGAACTGCAACTTCTAAACATGGCCCTGCAAGCTCCTTCCCAGTTGGACCTCTAACACCTAGCTCTGCCTCAGCTCAGTGACAAGAGGCTCTACTTCAACACAGGAGCAGCAAGCTTTAACCTTTAGAAGACCACTTATAGGGTGTGGAAACCAAGCCTCTCAGAATTTCCCAACTAGGCCAAACCCTAATATGGGGAGAGGTGGTATTGGGAGAGGGCTAGTAGCACCTAAAACACCTCTTGGTGATACAAAAATCATGTGTTTCAAGTGCCAACAGCCTGGGCATAAGCCATTCAATTGCCCCTCACGCCCCATACATAATGAATTGGCCTTCAAAGATGTCTATAAGATGTCTGATGCCTATACTTTAGCCCTCAAAGCAGAGGAAATAGTTAATCTCGGCCTTGGGAGAAACAGCTCAGTGACAAGAGGCTCTACTTCAACACAGGGGCAGCAAGCTTTAACCTTTAGAAGACCACTTATAGGGTGTGGAAACCAAGCCTCTCAGAATTTCCCAACTAGGCCAAACCCTAATATGGGGAGAGGTGGTATTGGGAGAGGGCTGGTAGCACCTAAAACACCTCTTGGTGATACAAATATCATGTGTTTCAAGTGCCAACAGCCTGGGCATAAGCCATTCAATTGCCCCTCACGTCAACCCCCTGTCAAAGTTAATTTGGCCGAAGAAAATTATGAAGAAGAAGTCGATGAAGGATACACCTATGAAGGCCAAGGTGATATTGGGACAAGCCAGTCTTATGAAGGGACTGAGCTTTTCAAAGGTGAGATTGAGGAGTTGTACGGAGATGAAAGCGGTAAAGCCTTAGTTGCCCAGTGAACCATGCTAACAACCCCAAGACCTAGTGAGGAAGAGAAGTGGTTGCGACACAATATTTTTCGAACAACTTGCACATCAAGAGGCAAGTTATGCACAATATTAATTGATGGTGGGAGCAATGAAAACATTGTGTCTAAAGAGATGGTGGATAAACTTCAATTGACAGAGCATAAGCACCCACACCCATATCACATCCAGTGGTTCAAGAAAGGAAGTGAGGTACCAGTTCTTACTCGATGTTTAATCTCTTTTTCCATTGGTGCTAATTATAAAGATGAAGTGTGATGCGATGTAGCACCTATGGATGCATGTCACATATTACTTGGTAGACCATGACTTTATGATCATGATATGGTGCATAAAACTAGACCAAACACTTATTCTTTTGTCAAGGATGGTATTAATATCACACTCCACCCTATGAAACAACTTCCTACACCCAAATCCACTAAAGAGGAGGGTTCAAAGTTGCTTAATGCGCAAAAATTAAAAAGAGGCAGCAAGGATATGGATGTGATTTATGTATGTCTTGCAAAAGAAAATTCTGTACCGACTGCAATTCCTAGGTCTCTTGAACCTCTACTTGAGAAGTATAAAGATTTGATGCTTGAAGAATTACCTAATGGTCTGCCTCCAATGAGAAATATTCAGCATCACATTGACTTGGTGCCTAGTTCTAGCCTACCAAATTTGGCCCATTATTGAATGAGCCCCATGGAACATGAAGAGTTGCACAGACAAGTTGTTTTTCTTAAGGGATTGATTCGAGAAAGCATGTCACCATGTGCTGTCCCTGCATTATCGACTCCAAAAAACGATGGGTCATGGAGGATCTGCGTGGACAGTCGAGCAATCT